AACACACCCAAAATCAATTTGATTGCAGAAATGGAAGCTTCTGCCCATGCCCCCCCCCCCCCCCCACAGCTTGGTTGGATTTTCTGCATGGAACCTTGCTACAAGGTGATTGGCTTGGACATTCCTACTCTTTACCCATGATGCCTCTGATGAGGCGTAGCTTGATTAAATATTGGAGTTGTCTCCTGTGCCACCTTGAATCGAGGATTCGCTGCACCTCATAATGGGTTTGGCCTCCTATGACCACAGGTTCTGTGGGCTCACGAGGTAGGGGCCTCAGCGTTGATCCGACCATGGGTTTTAATAGGCTACTATGGAATACTGGGTGTATTTTCCCTAGCAATCGGGGCAACTTCAATTGCACCATGACTGGGTTGATGATCTTTACTATGGGGAATGGTCCCATGAATTTTGGCCCCAATTTCTTGCTAGGGAGTCTTAACCTCAGATATTTGGTGGAAAGATAGACCTTCTCCCCCAACTGGAATGGTCATTGCGGGGCTTGGTGTTTGTCTGCCTGTCTCTTATAGGTCTGTACCGCTTTTGCCAGTACTTTTTTGACATTCTCCCAAGTTGCTTTCAGCATTGACACCCAATCGGTCAGGCTGACTGAGGAGGGGGGGGGGGTCCCTTGAATACTCAGGCATTGGGACAAAGTCCATGTCACTCACTACTTTGAAGGGGGTTAGTCCTATAGTACTGTTAACAGTATTATTGTATGCGACCTCCGCGAAAGGCAGGAGGTCCACCCAATTGGACTACTGATAATTCACGTAGCACCTCAGATACTGCTTTACCATGGCATTCAATCTCTCTGCCCCCCCTCCCCCCACCATTGGTGCTTGGATGAAAGGCTGAGCTAAGATCCTGGGATGACTGCAGGAACTCCCTCCAAAATTTGGCTGTGAATTGGACCCCTCTGTCTGAGATAATTCTCCATGGTACTCTATACAGGTGGTAGATGTGCTTCAGGAATAGCTTGGCTAACTGGCAGCCTGAGGGTAGTCCGCTGTAAGGTATGAAATGTGCCTGTTTGGAAAATAAGTCTATTACAGTCCAGATCACCATGTTCCCCCCACTTTTCAGCAACCTCACTATGAAGTCCATTGCAATCTCCTCCCATGGCCCCGTTTTCAGCCAGCAGAGTGCTGCAGGAGGCCATGGAGGGTGAAGACGAGGCATGTGGGGGGGGGGGGGCACATAGCCCATTTTAGCTGCCAGAGGCACTGCAAGCCAGTCCCTTGATATTTCCAGGCCAGCCCCTTGGGCCAGATTTAAGTACCCTGTCAGGCTACAGAACTTTTCCCATTCAATCAACAAGAATGAACTTCTGAAATCTAGGTGTTTCAAAAGGAATCCTTTATTGAGATGAGACAATTCATGTAGGGATTAAAAGCAGCACCTAATGTGCCTCAGGCATGCAGGGATAGATAAGGGAGTTTAAGACCGCTCCCCTCCTTGTGATGTGTATTTAGTAAAACAAAGAGCCAACATATTTATTCCCCCCCCCTTCTGAGAACCATCTTTTTTGAGGTTCCCAGGAGACATCTCCCAGCAGGAATTTTTATGGTCTCTTCATCCTGTGGCTGTCTCTTTCGGAGGTGACAGGTTTCCGGGCACCTGGTTTCTGTCCCTCCATAGTATATCATGGGTTATCCAAATTCAATATAAGATTTAATATATCCATGTTACATCAAAAACAATTTCTTAAACCAACTCCCCCACCCTTCTTCTTCCATAAAGAATGGGAGATACATGGATCTGACATCCTGCCCTCCTTAAAAAGCAGATAGATCTACCTGGAAAACAAAAATCATGCATTACACTTTGCAATTTAGGATGGTTTATCAGGGTATTTCAGGTGGAACTTTTGTAGTAATGTGGGCACTTTTACGTGTCGTTTGCCTACCCACTAATTTTCTGATGAAGGAAGGTGTTTCCAAGCTACTAAATATTGTGTGGATCCATGGTGTGTGTGCGAATCAAGGGTATTGTCATGTCCCCTATGGCGTGCCTGGAGCCGTGACACCAGCATCTGAATGTTCTATGGCGCTAGGAATTAACCGATAGCCAAATGATGCGGGGTTCGGGTTGCCGATGACCGGCAGGTGATTCCCGATGACATCAGACACTGAACTGTCACAAGTTGTATACAGATATCGGCAGAGCACTGAACATGCTGACTGCTGGACGTTGCAGTAATTAATACAAGGGCGATGGTGGTCTACAGTGGACTAGGGTGTTGCGCGGGTACGATAAATGTGGGTTGGACACTTAATGTGTGAATACACGGCATATGAGGTGTCACGTAACAGCCAGATATTAAACAGCAGCATTCACCGGATGGTAGATAACCCAATTATGCTATTACATTGTGTATAAATACAGCTCTGGCTGCGGTGAGTGCCAGAGATGACTTTAATGTTATCTTGATGCTCGTTGTTACTCGAACCGGAGAAGTGCATGGACGAATAAAGTCTCATTTCATAGTTATCATGAGGGCTTTGTTTCCCTTTCTTCCCGGAATCCAGCTGAACAGCTGAGAAGAAAGTCAGCTCTTCCTCAAATCCTTTTATGCTCCTGTCCGTTCCCCTCCCACTCTCCTTTGGCTGTTCAGTATTGCTGCATTGAGAACTGATGGCTGAAAGCACAGACGTGGATTTGGTTTTGTCGTTTGAAGCTGTGGTGGACGAGGAAGAGGTTTCTCCAGGGGACGAAGGAATGCATGAGTCTTTTGACGGGCCTAGAAGCGGAGATGCGCCATCTGTTGGTGATACGGGGGACATTCCCAAGGATGTACAGAGGATTACCAGACCTAAACTACGCAGAGACATTAAGGGCGAGGTTGAGGGGTGGCGCAGAAAGCTGTTCGGCTCAAGACAAGGGAGGAACGGAGAAGTGATTTGGAGCTCCAGGAGGAGTGTGGGGGATGAGGTGTTCGTGGAAAAACCCCTGCCTTTGCACCTCTCAATGCTGGAGTGTTTGAGAAGTGGAGGGAACGGAGGATAGTTGAAGAGGATGCCTGGAGTACCTCCACCTCCAGCTTGGGAGCCAGTACTATAGAACTATTACAAATGAAGTATGGAGATCTAAGTATACAGGATCCTAGCCCAAAGAGTAGATGGGATGGGTCAGAGGCTCGTACTGATGATACTTCATATTTCAGTTCTATCCCCAGAGAAGGAAGGGAACGTAACAGTAGAAGGACCGGAAGTGACTGTACACCTGGGTTTGATTCATCCTTAGCTGATGTAGTAGGGCCATCAGAACCCAGGACAGAAGGTACCAAGCATATGTCACCTAGTTTGGCTCAAGGGGATTCACCACCTCGCCGTATACAGCATGAGGGTTCCTGGGGTCATCAGGGAATGTCTGGCCAGTGGCCACAACGCATGGTGTGGAGACCACCACCATTGCAAACTACATTTGACGGTAACCCAGACCGTATCGCACTGTTCCTCAGCCAAGTGGTCAACCACCTAGAATTATATGCCTCTTGCTACCCATCACAATGGTCCATAGTGGTAGCTATCATGGGGGTCTTGACCGGGGATGCAGCGGATTGGGTGGTGGAACTACACAGTGAACGTGCCAGAGAATTAGTAGATGTAAGTTTATTTTTGGACTCACTCCGCAGTCACTTTGAGGACAGGTCTGAGCTGAAATTACAGGTGGAACAGTTGCCTACACCAATGAATTTTGAGCAGGTGGATGGGTCCCTGCTTGGTGGGACCCCAGCACTGATGATGACGACTCCTATTAAACTAGAAATTGGAGCTCATTGGGAATGTCTATGGTTTATTGTTGTCCCGCATATGCACGAGGCACTTATCTTAGGACTAGTGTGGTTGGATAAGTGGGAGCCCACTATATGGTGGGAAGGTGGTTGCTGTCATTTGAGACTTGTAGTAGGACCAGAACCCCCTCGTCCAGATCCAAGGGTTTCCACACAGAATACACGTAAGGAGTCAGCAACCACCATATTTGAACATCAAAACCTCCCCTACCTGACTGAGTACCAGGATCTAGCAAACGTGTTCAGAGAAGAGGAGTGCGAGGTCCTGCCCCCACACCGCAAAACTGACTGTGATATAGAATTAATCCCAGGAGTGAAATTACCTAAACCCCGTATGTATGCAATGACTCCCAAGGAGATGGAGGAGATGAGGGATTATTTAGATAAAAAACTAGCCCATGGTTTCATACAACCTGGAAGATCACATATCGCTGCCCCAGTATTATTCCGGGAGAAGAAGGATGGAAGTTTGCACTTGTGTGTGGATTTTAGAGGACTTAATGCTGTGTGTGTGGAAAATGTATATCCTCTGCCGTTAATTAGCAAATTATTGGCCACGTTGGCCACCGGAAAAGTCTTCACAAAGTTGGACCTATGTGAAGCGTATTACCAGGTGCGTATTAGACAAGGAGACAAATGGAAAACTACTGTCAACTGTCCCCTGGTCAGTTTCCATTTCAAGGTGATGCCTTTTGGGTTGCAGGGTGCCCCCGCGGTATTCATGCAGCTAATCAATGAGGTGCTGCATGAACATTTATATCGGTGGTACTTGTATATTTAGACGACATCTAAATTTACACACAGACTTTGGAAGAACATATACATTTAGTACGGAGTGTCTTAAAAAAATTGTTAGACTCCAAATTATACGTGAAATTGTCAAAATGTGAGTTTCACTGTAACAAATTGGAATATCTGGGGTATCGAATTTCCAATGATGGCTTGGAAATGGATACCAACAAAGTGACTGCTGTCTTGGGATGGGAAGTCCCACAAACATGTAAACAAGTGCAGAGTTTCCTTGGGTTTGCGGATTTTTATAGGCAGTTTATACTGCAATTTGCTAGCATTGCATTGCCGTTAACAGAACTGCTAAAAACAAAGAACCAGACAACAAAGCCAACACCTGGTCAAAGAATTGAGTGGTCCACAAAATGTCAACAAGCATTTGACAATCTGAAGACATTATTTTCCCAGGCACCGATTCTCAAACATCCTGATCCCATGCGGCAATATGTCGTTCAAGCAGATGCCTGTGACGCGGCTGTGGGCACTGTCCTTCTACAAGTAAATGAGCAAGGAATGTTGCAACCTTGTGCTTACACCTCCCATAAATTCACCCCAACAGAGAGAGGGTGGGCAATCTGGGAAAAGGAAGCATTTGCTGTGAAGTGGGCATTGCATACATGGAGACATCTGTTGGCACAAAAGAAGTTTTCGAAGTCTGGACGGATCACAAAAATTTGGAGGCTTTGCAAAAGCCCAGTCATTTATCCCCCAAACAGGTTCGATGGGCTATGTATTTCAAGCGGTTTAATTTTCATCTGTGCCATGTACCAGGGGGACAAAATTTTATGGCGGATACCCTGTCCCGCTTACCTCAATACGACGCGGCCTGAGATGTGGTTGTTCAGCCTCTGATTTCAGACAACATACCCAGGAATATGGGACAAGCCATACGATTGAAGGATGTAAAGCAGGATATATTACAAGAGGCCACTCGAACAGATAAATGGCTTAGAAATAATTCTGCCTTAATTTCCTATAGAGATGATTTAGCCTGGAAGGGAGACAAGATTTATGAACTGGAGAAATGTAGAGACTGTATTTTGGAAAAGTATCACGATGAAAAACAGGCCGGACATTTCGGGTTTCTGAAAATCTTGCATTTAGCACGACATCAATTTTGGTGGCCAAAAATGAGATCTGAGATAGAACAGTGTTGTGGCTCCGGGTTTGGATTCTGCTCCTGTGGCAGATATGAGTTCAAGTGAGGAAGACATGGCAGAAAAATATGAACCGGCATTGCTGAGTGATTGGAATAGTAACCAGGATGAGGAGATGGATGTAACAAGGGATGACAGACCAGAAATATTAGAGTGGTCAGTACCTTCAACCTCCTCTGGTGCTTTATCTGATCAGCAGCCGGGAATGGATGACAGGGAAGGAAGGAGGGAGTTTTCCAGCGGAGATGAGAATCTGGAAAACTTATGGTTAGACGTTAGGAACAGGAGACGACTAAGGAGACAAACCCAGTTAGAAAGAAAGAGAAGAGCGAGTCAATAATTATGGTGATTAGCACGTTGCTTAAGTGAATAAAAGGACACAGCTGGCCTGGTGGAATTCACCAGAAGCAAAGTGACTAATTGAGAGTGAAGACATTACAGCAGAAGCTCTGAGGCTTGAGATTTATTGCTACGACAGGTTTGCCGGACAGAGTAAAGATTTATGCTGTGGATTGGGATTTATGCCAGCCGTTATCTTGTGGGACTTTGTTTTGTTTGAATTACTTCTGAAACAGCTGCTTTTTGTTTTGCTCGCTTGAATTTGAAGGGGAGTCATAACAGAACAGTATGTAAAAAGGTGTCATGTCTGCACGACTTCAGAACCAAGACTGGGTAAGCCATTAGGGTCATTACAAACAGTGTCCGAGCCACAACGCCCATGGCAGGATATTGCCATGGATTTTATTGTGGAGTTACCAAACAGTAATGGTTATACAGTTATAAGGACTATCATTGACTTATTCTCAAAACAGGCACATTTCGTACCTTGTAGAGGTTTGCCCTCAGTGAAAAAACTAGCCAATATGTTTATAAGACATGTTTATTGATCACATGGGACCCCTCGACGAGTAATTTCTTACAGAGGCGTACAATTCACTGCACAATTCTGGAGAGCATTCCTCCATTTGTTAGGGTCATCCCAGGGATTAAGTTTGGCATACCATCCAAGCACGAATGGCGCAGCAGAAAGAGCAAATGCTATGGTGGAGAGATACTTAAGATCATATGTGTCATATCAACAAGAAGAGTGGGCGGAGTTATGGAGGGCGGAGCTGGCGTCACGACGATACAGCATGCGATCTGGGAGGTCTGAGATCGCTGCCGATATCTTTGCTCCTGGACGGTCCAAGTGGATCTAAACCGTCCCGAAGAGACAGTGAATGTAAAGAGCGCATCCTGTCGATCCCAGGGATACCGCAAAGTCCCTGGTAGATCCAGGAGAAGCTCTTCTTGCCAGCGGTAAAGAGGCAGCCATTAAAGCTGCTGAAGTTGTGACAGCTCCGAAACGAAAGAGAACAGAAAGAGAGAGTGTGCCGGTTTGGTGAGAACTTTTTCTTTATTCTAAGATCTGAAAGGACACCCTAAGGAAAAAAAAGAATCTGTAAAAGTTTTGACAGAAGTGATTAAGCGGCGATTTTAAGCAGGAATGTCAAAGTAATGTTTTTTTTCTCATTTCTGGATTTTCTATACATGATCTTATATTTTGAAACTGGACTGTTTTTTTCTTTTCCATCTATTTTTTTTCTCCTTTTTCATTTTGTAACATTTTAGGCTAGAGACTCCCTTTTAGTTATTTCTTTTTTAAAAATATCTTTTCTTTTTCTTTTTTTTTTATTAATTCTTATTATATTTTGCTTGGAAAAGGAGAGGAAAAGTGAAAGCAAAGAAACTTTGTAACACTGCCAACTAGAGGCTTGGAAATATTCTATTTCTCCTGTGACCAGACAAAGCTGAGAAAGAAAGAACTGAGACTTTTTTTCAAGGACATTGCTATTTGATAAGATAGAGGGAAGAGCATGGGAGAGTATTATTGCAGGTGCTCTTCTGGGTTTCTATCAACAGCTGGAGTCTGGTGTTGAAACTTGTGGGGGGGAAAGGTGATAAGTTTTTGGAGAAGAGAGTTATAATAAGAGCCTTGGATAATTAAACAAAGTGCAGTGTGCTCTTTTTACTTTTTCTAAGTTGTGCTATCCCTCCTCACCAGCTTTTTTTTTTACAATAGCTATTTGGATCTTTGGCTTTGTTGGAGCTTGTGTTTGTTTTTCTTTTTTTTTCTTTGGAACTCCAATCTCTACACTTGCTTTTTATTTTAAAGGGAAAGCTTTAGTATTAATGTTTCCTTTTTTTTAAGGGAATAGCCTTTTTTTCTCCTTTCCTGGTATTTTTGTTTTTTCATCTACCTTTCTGGTTTATTTTTATGCACTCTTTTCTATTTGAGACCTCTCAATTGGATTAAGGTGTTGAAGAACCTGAAGAATTTTTCCTTTTTTTTTTTCAAGCCTTTTTCTTCATCTAACTACTAATTGGATTAAGGTATACAAGAACCTGAAGAAATTTTGTCCTCCTTTTTTTATCATTACTATTTGGCTTCTTTTTTCTACTATTTTTATTTTGAACTACAATTGGTTATTTCACAATTGGATTAAGGTTTAGAACAGGCTTGTCCAACCCGCGGCCCACGGGCTGCATGCGGCCCAAGTCGCCTCGTAATGCGGCCCAACGCCCACCCCAACCTTCATGAAAGATACAGCGAGGAGGAGGAGGAGAGGCAGGCGTGAGGCGGGGCGAGGCGAGCAACAGAAAAGGTGGGCAGCCACAGCCCAAAAGTCCCGCCCTGCCACCTCCTGCTGTTGCTGCCACCGCCGCCACCGCTGCTGCTTCTGCCCCCGCCGCCGCCGCCACCGCTGCTGCATTTGCAGGAGGAGAGGTAGGCATGAGGCGGGCGAGCTTTCTTCCCCCCCTCCACCCCACCCCGCAAATTTTGGCCGGAAAATTAATAAAAAATAAATAATTTGCAGGAAGAGAGGTAGGCGTGAGGCGGGCGAGCTTTCTTCCCACCCCTCCCCCCCACCCCACAAAATTTCCCCCTCCCCACCACCCCACAAAACCTGAAGATTTTGAATTGCTTAAAATGAGTAGGAAATTTACAGCTCCTTGTTCTTCAACTTCTACTTCTTCCTCTCCACAATCTGGAGGACAACGCTCAATACAGATGATGTTACAGCAAGAAAAAGAACAAGAAAAAGTGACTCTGCAGATGATTATGCAAGGAATTCAAAATATTCAAGCAAGATCAGAGAATATTGAAAAGAGAATAGAGAACATTGAACAAAGAACAGAGAACATTGAACAAAGAACAGGGAAAACCTATGAAAAAGTGGAGAACATCCAACAAATGATGTTGAAGTATGATGAGAGATTCCAAAAAATTGAAGAAGAAGATAAACAAAGAGACAAGAAGATTGGAGATATTGATAATAGATTAACGGTGGTTGAACAAGATAAAAGTGGTATGTTGAGATGGGAGATGGATAGATCATAATTCTATCTTAGATTCCAAAACGTAGAGGAAGAAAAAGGACAAAACCTAACTGAGATAATGATAGAAATACTGGCTGAAGCTTTGGAAATAACTCAAGAGAAGATGATGGATGGAATAGATGAGGTTTATCGAGTTTTCACAAGATATGCGATGAGAAATAGCTTACCAAGAGAAGTTCACATTAGATTTACAAGGAAAGCCATTAAAACGCAAATATTGCAAGTGGCAAAAGAGAAAACATTGAAATATAAAGACAAGGAGATTGTGGTCTTGAAACAAATACCCAGAAGAGTGAGAGAGATGAGAAGAGAATACCGATTCCTGACTAAAATGCTACTTTAAAAAGAGGTGAATTATAGATGGCTGATTCCAGAAGGTTTAATATTCACATGGCAAGAACAGAGACATAGAATTGACTCAATTGAGAAAGCGGAATTATTTTATACAGAATTTTTTGGAGGGAAAGAGGAGGAGGCAGAAAAAGAAATCTCACTAATTGAATTCCAAGAGGACTGCCAAATGGCGATTGAAAAAGAAGAAGGTGCAGTAGGTGGAAAGGTGGAAGCTAAAGAACAACATGAACTAAGATCTACGAGAGCTGCTAAACCTAAATACAAAATATAACCATGGAAGAGAAAAAACTGATTACAATTAATATAAATGGACTTAACTCAGCCGTTAAAAGAAGGAAAACCTTTCATAAATTAGAGAAATTAAAATTTGATATAATCTGCCTACAAGAAGTACATATTAAAAAACAATATGAACAATTGTTGATACAGCCAAAACTAGGGAAAATATTTACTTCCTTGACACAATGTAAGAAAAGAGGAGTGGTTTTATATATTAAAGAGACCATCACAGCAAAATTGATTTATTCCGATGATGACGGAAGAATACTCATGGTGGAAATAATGGACAATAATACGAAAACACTCCTGATTGCAATCTATGCTCCAAATGACAAACAAGAAGAATTCTAGAAAAAAATTACATATGAAAATAATTGAACTGGACTATGCTAATATAGTTATGATGGGAGATTTTAATGGAATTGTAGACAATAAATTGGACTATACAGCACAGAAAATAATAAAGCAAAACAGAAAGACTCTCCCTAAATACTTTTTCAAAATGATAGATGAAATAAACTTAAAAGACACATGGAGAGAAAGAAATGCTAAAACTAAACAATACACCTTCTATTCAAATAGACACTTATCATGGTCCAGAATAGATATGATATGGATGTCAACAGAATTAATAACTAATATTCAAGAAATAAATATTGAAACAAGTACTTGGGCAGATCACAATCCAATGACAATTAAATGGAAAGGACAAAAAAGTAGATCTAGATGGACGTTAAATAATACTATTTTAAAGGGAAAAGACTTCACACAGTGGATGGAGAAAGATTTTTTTTCTTTAGAGAGAACGAAAAAGAAGATACATCAATTCAGAATGTATGGGATACAATGAAGGCATATGTTAGAGGCTTGATAATAGACTATACAAGGAAAAGAAATACTATGAAAAGATTAGCCTCTAAGGTCTTAGAGGATGAGTATAAAAGACTTGAAAAAGAGCTACAGAAAATGCCACAGAAAAAGGTCATCAAGCTAAAAATGGATATAGTTAAACATAAAATGGGTCAAATAGAAAAAGAAGAATTAGCACAGAAATTAGAGGTGCTAAACAGAATTACTTTGAAGATGCAAACAAACCAGGTAGATGGCTAGCATACAAATTGAGAATGGAGAAAGAATCAAGGAAAATATTGCAATTAACAGATGACCAAGGCCAAGTTTGCTATGGTAGTAAAGAGAAGAAGGAAATCATTCGAGACTTCTATGGGAAACTATATATGCAAGAGAATATTGATGAGGAAAGAGTTAAACAGTATTTACAGAATGCTAATTTACCCCAGATACCTAAAGAGATTGAAACAATGTTAGAAAGCAATATAACGATGATGGAGTTAACTGAAGCACTCAAGAAGCAAAATAATGGAAAGGCACCAGGCCCAGATAGACCTCCGGCAGAATTTTACAAAACATTACAAGAATCGTTGAATCTTCCATTGCTAGAAGTTATGAATGAAGTTATGTTAAAGAAGAGGATACCTAAATCATGGTCAGAAGCCTATAATACACTTATTCCAAAAGAGGAGGCCGATCCATTACAAATTAAGAACTATAGACCTATTTCTCTACTAAATGCAGATTATAAAATCTTTGCTTCAATATTGGCAGAAAGACTTAAAAAATATCTAAATAATTTTATTCATCCTGATCAAGATGGATTTCTGCCAAAGAGACAAATTAAAAATAATATGAGAGTAATCTTGGACACTTTGGAATACTACGAGGCACATCCTGAAAAACAAATGGCTCTGATATTTCTAGATGCACAGAAGGCATTTGATAATGTGAATTGGCTATTCATGTTATTACTGTTGGAACAGATGGGCTTTGCTAGAAAATTTA